GGGGCGGGGCGGGCCCGCAGGTGGGAAACGCGCTGGGCAGCCTGGAGCCGCTGCGCTGGATGCTGCGCTCACCCTTCGACCGCAACGTACCGGTCAACCTGGAGCTGCAGGAGCTGCTGCTGGACTACAGCTTCCAGCACCTGGGTGTCTCCTCACAGGTGAGGCGGGGGGGGGGTTGGGCTTGAGGGGAGGGGTGAGGTCGCAGCTCCCCGCACTCTGCTCTCCGAGAGGACGTAGTCACAACAGTAGTTCTCGTTGTCCTTTAGTCATTCATTTCGTCTTTCGAGTAAATCTTAAGTGCCCAATGTGTGTAAGCCCTGGGCTAGGCTCTTGGAGTACAGCAGTGAACAAAACAGCGCTCCTTCTCTCTTGCAGCGTACATTTGGCGTAGGTGCTCGTTTGTTATCAAATTCATTTATTAACTAATCTGTATTGAGCACCTACTCTGTGTCAGGCACTTTTCTAGGCGTTTGGAATACATCCATGAATGTAACAGAAAATTTCCTGTGCTATGGACCTAGAATGAAAAGGCAGACAATAACCAATAGAATTAAGTAGTAGATTCTAAGACATGGTAGGAGGAGAGGAGAGGATTACGTTTTTTCAGATGGTCAGGGTAAAACTCAGGAAGAAGGTGATGCTCTAGCAAGGATTGAAGGAGGTGATTGAGGGAGTAAGCCATGTGAATGTCTGAGCAAATAGTATTCCAGAGAAACAGCCAGTGAAAAGGCCCTGAGCAGGAGTGTGCCCTAATCCTGAGAGCAGCCAGAGTAAGAGGAGAGTAGTCAGTGGAGGAGGAAGTCAGAGAGGTGATGAGGGAGCAAATCACATTTGGCTTTTACTTGAGTGAAATGAGAAGCCATTGCAGGGTGTTGAGTGGAGCAGGTACATGACTTCTGTTCCAAAAGGATCACTATAGCTGCTGTATGAAGAATGGATTGACATGGGTCATAGGGTAGAACCAGGAGACCAGTAAGGAGGCTGTTGGAATAATCCAAGTGAGAGGTGGTGGTGACTTAGGTGAAGGAGGTCAGGGGAGGGGTATGTGGTAGAAGCAGTTGGATTCTGGAGGTAAATTGAAGATAGAGCCAACATGATTTGCTGGCAGTTTGGATGGGGCTTGACTTAACCTTAAATTGACCCTACTTTTATATTTTCTAAAACAACCTCTAGTAAGGATGAGATGAGTGTTTTACAGTTGCTTCCGGTCAGGTTTTTGATTGAAGACCAAAAGCAAATTCAGTCTTTACAGTAGGACTTTGGTTTCTTTTATGCTTTAAAAAGAGTATTCTTTTGTTACTCATCTGTTCTCCCTTTTCTTTCAAAGTAGGGCTGTGTCGATCATCCCATAGTTTTGACAGAAGCTGTGTGCAACCCACTGTATTCTCGGCAAATGATGTCTGAGCTTCTTTTTGAGTGCTATGGGATTCCTAAGGTTGCCTATGGAATAGACAGCCTTTTCAGCTTCTACCACAATAAGCCAAAGAACTTGATTTCCAGTGGGCTCATCATTTCCTCTGGATACCAGTGTACACATATTTTACCCATCTTAGAAGGGAGGTGAGTAGCACTGACAGCATTTGAGTGCTGTTTTGAGAAGCATTTGGGAAACATTTATTGGGTGCCCACTTGAAAGGTGAAGTGGAAAGAACAAGTATTGAACTGTGAACTGGCCTCTGGGCTTGGCGCTGACATACTTCACTATGTGACTTCAGTTAAGTCAATTCACCTTCCATCTTTTGTGACCTCCTGGTGGGAGTTGCAGTAGATAGTCTTTGAGGTCCAGATCAATAATTCTAGAACTTTACTGTTTTGATTTATGGCAAGATAGCTAACATAGTACCTACAGGTAGTAGGTGCTTCATAAAAATGTTTTGAATAAATTATTTGAGTAATTTAAATGGTCTTTGTGTTCTGGAGTCACCTTTTTGTTAATCATGATTGTTTAGGCCTTTTTTTTTTTTCAGGTACAGTGCCTGGCACATAATATAGGTACATTTCCAAGTTGGATAAAAGGTGA